ATACGTGCCTCCGTGAAAAATTGGTTTTTTCGATTTTTCGGTTATTCCGAATTGCTACTTTTGAATTACAGAGACAAGCGTCGCTTGGCAACGTGCTGGTAGCTCGGTGAAAATTGCGAATTTGAATGTGCGAAAATATTATTTTTTATGCTTATGATTATGCCCAGATCCTTGTCTACTTCGTACTCGAGGTTTTGGGTTTTGCGTTGGAGACACGATAAAAGGTAACAGTACTACGTACAACCACTCCGAGACTCTAACTGTGCTCCTCGCGCATTTCCACCTAGATCAGAGACCTGCACCCCTCGTTCTCGCAGAAGGGTCTAGTTTGCCTAATGAAATTTTTATGTCCCGTTTGAAATATTTTCTTCCACGGGACAGTTACCACGGGACATTACCATCCAAAAGCGCTTTAACGTTGCGCCTTTGACTTCGGTTGTGCCTCGTTCCGAACCGCTGCGAGTATTCGGGTTTTCCTTATGAAAACTCGGCAAGCATCATCGACCCCAGTGATGCAATTTTAAGACCCTTCGTTAACTTTACCGTTCCGCTTCTTTTCCTGCTCTCCGAATGATTATCAGATTTTTCTACGGTTCCGTTTTCAAGCACGTTTTCCCACACGTCAGATTCTCGCATTTACATGGCAATGTCGCCGGCCATGTACATGCGCACGTATATGCAGCCCTGTTTAAATATACATGTACGACGGGGCATCGCGTGCAAAGAAGAAAAATCTGCAACCTCGGTCGCTATCTACTCGACCGAAGCAACGTAAGCATTTTTGCGTGGGAAGCGAAGTGCTCCACTCTGTACGTATAGTCAGACGTCGTCCACGGTATCCGCATCTACTTCCACCTACTCGCCTAAAATCCTACGACAGTAGGCGCTGCATTTTCAGCACTTTCTCCCTCTTCCTTAGCCAAATGCCGGCCCTTTGCCAAAAATCCATAGTCCGTCGATTCTAATTATTTTCATGATGATATCAATTTTTTATTTTATCCTATTGATTAGGTCTAGGGCTAAAATGACAGTGTAGGTGGTGAAATCGTACGATATCACAGTTAGGGTTGACTGAGGGTCGCTTATCTCGAGAGATATTTAGGCCATAGAATTAAAACAGCGGGACCCATTACCTGGTTTGCTTAGCTCCTATTATATCCTTGGTAATAGGTACAGGGTGTTTCAAGATAGAAGAAATTCTCTCGGTGCGATAATCATCCTTTGCCTGACGATCTACGGGGATTAACGCTCGTTATGGCCGATAAAGGCGCGTCTGATATATTCTTGGATCGTGAGCCGAGAGAGAATTGAACATTTTCATATTTCTCGCGGTTGAGCTCGGCTTAGGAGGACTACAAGTTCAGTCTGTGCACTTTGCGAGTTAGCGGGGACCAGTATACATTCTTTATATGGGTTTTACAATGGATTTAAGCTTCGAATGCACAGTGACGTGCCCCTCTGAAAGTGCCTTCTGCAGGAGCCCTGAGGGTCGGACACGAGCGAGGGATGGAAATGCTATTGAAGGAGCATTCGTAAAAACGGTAAAAGGATTCTGATTTTCAAGGATTACCGGCTGAATTACTTGAAAATTGAAAACTTGATACTCGAGCCAAAAGTTCCGCGTATATTAAAAGCAAACAAGAAGAATTTATCATTCAGAATGAAGCCAACGGTTTTACCAGAGGAATCTCTGCTAATCAATCATTCAATATTTACTCAAGATTAACCTATCGAGTATAATAGACCAGACACCCAGCACCTTGCAAATATATATTTTTTTAATTTCCATAACAAAATCCACCCTCGTAGGAACCTCCAGCAACGGAACGGTACGTCGTCCCTGGCAAAACTAATTAACTAATTTGCCACCCTTGCCGTCACTCTAAACAAGGTTTAAACTAGGTTTTTGCCAGTTAATGGCGACCAGCAAGAGTTTACTCTCTCCGACGCGGAAGGCACCATTAAACTCTAGTTAGGTGCTCCAGTAAGAGAGAACGTGGTCCGAGACTCGAATCGGAATTAGATTTGCTACGTAAATGAGAGTTTAGTGATTTCGTGTCTGCGAGAAACGTCTATCTCCGAGTCTACACGATGATAACCCCGTACGCGGCATCCACGATTATGCCCAGCGCTCCAGCTGCGCTTCTTCCGCAATTAATCGACACCGCGCGATCCTCCTGTCAAGAGCGTAATTTAACGCGAGTCCGACGACTTCGGACAGACTTCGAGTCTCTGCCAAGTTTACGACTCGCCACGAGATATTTATAATGAAATGTAAACCAATCCTATGTTTTTCCTGCACCTTCCTCTCTATTTCTTCTATCTTTCTCACTCCGCACGATCGTTAACGACACTTCTATTCCCGTCTCTCTCAATCCCTCGCTGTCTTTAGTGTCAGGAAAGAAACAAAATTTCCCCAAAACCTACCAAATGACGGCTGTCCTCTGTTCGCGCTTACCGACTACCAGTGACGAGATCATCGTCAGTCATCGTCATCCAACGTTTGAGTCACCCGGTATAGTAAGTAGAACAACCCGCGAACGTATCCCAGTTAAAAGATCTATCAACACAGCCAAGAAAGTCATAAAGAAGAGCCATAGGTATTTCGAGGAGCTGACTAGAACCCTCCCCCCCCCCCCCCCCCTT